TACAATTCAACCCCTACACTTAAGGCTCATGGAATATAGAACAGGGATAAAGAAGAGGACACTACAGAATCAGTTCTCAATAATGAAGCCCCCTCATGCAGTGCAGGGCCAGGAACACTAAAGGTCACAAATGGCCAAAGTGTAGAGATCAAGAGTCTGCTGAATGCTGGTCCTTGGACAGGATCCCTTTATTAAACTTCTCCCACCCAAGGCTCAGGGACCATCTTGGAAAAGGGGGTAGAAAGATTGTAAGAGCCAGGGAGGAGGTGCATGACCATAGGGAAACAGAGTCCTACAAGCTCCTGGGAACCTGCTCATATGATTCCATGGCAATGGTGTCAGGATACACAAGTCCCATGCAAACTCAGGCAGAAAATAACCCAGCATAGAACTGGGAAAATGAACAGCAGACCTCAATTTTATCTGAAGGAATGTTGGCAACTGATGGCTGCTAGATGAAGAAGAGCTGATCTTTCTAAAACAAGGGACTCTAGATAGGCTGATTAGACTTGGTGGATGGACTTGCACTGTGGAAAGGTTGGGGACACTGACAACTCAGTGGGCCTTAACAGGAATAACTGAGTATACGGGGTCCAGTGGGTGGGTGGGGGTGCTATGGGAAGGTGCCAGTGTGGACAAGGGTATAAAGATGATTAAGATCGTTTGAGCTGTTCTGTATGAAATACACAAAAATTTTAAAAAAAGTAATAAAAGGAAAAATTAAATGATAAAGTTAAAAAAAAAAAAGAAAAGAGTGGAGGTTGGAGTGGTGTAGCACAGATGTCCCTGACCCCTCACAAGGAATGAGCCCTGTTGACATCTCAATTTTTACACCTTCAAACTCATTTTGGATTTCTAGCCCCACAAAATGTAAAAGAACAAATTTGTGTTTTATCAGGGCAGGTGGTTTATTATAGTAACCGTGGGAAATATAAGGACTTTGAGGTATTAAAATGCAAGCAGGACAAAATGGAATGCAGGGAGCACAGAGGCATTTGAGCATCATTTGACATTTTTAAAGAATGAACATGTGACCCATGGATAAAAATGAGAATAGCCATCAAGTGTACCAACCAGAGTGAGCATATGGCTAGGGAGGCTGAACCACAGGGCAGCGTCCCTCAATGTAAACGTGCACATATATCACCCATGGGTGGCATTGAACAGCAGGTTCTGACTCAGAAGGCCTGCTGTGGGATCTGACATTTATCAGCATCTCTATAAGCTCCCAGGTGGTACTAATGCTGCAGGTCCAAGGATCGCACTTGGAGTAGCAAAAGTCTAGACTCAAGGCTAGTCCTCCAGATCATAGAAGATTGGCAGGGGGTGAGGGGGGACATCTAAAGAGAGAAAGAAAGAGAATGGGAGGGAGTGTGGTAGAGAGAGAGGGGTGGACAGAGGGGTGGAGAGCAGCAAGAGCATTGCACCTAAGCTAAGGCATTTTGAGTTTATCTCTGAAGATACTGGGAACCATGGAATGATTTCAAGCAGAGGAAGAATAGGATGTGATTTTTAAAAAATCCTTATTCTTTGCAGAAGAAGGGAAAAGAAGCCCAGGGACTAGAAATTGTTTAGAATGCAGCTGGGAACATAGCTAATAATGCTAATAGCTGAGGAAGGACGCACCAACACACACACACACACACACACACACACACTTAGAGAGAGAGAGAGAGAGAGAGAGAGAGAGAGAGAGAGAGAGACATCATCCACATTGACGTGAATGCTGCAGATATCTCCTGTCTGAAATCCTAAACCTCAGGGAGTTTTTTTATAACACCTGAAGGAATTCTCTTGCAGCCTTTTTCATCTACATAATTACATAGTATTTATTAAACCCTATCTTCCGATAGCAGATACATGTTCAAATTAGAAAAGTGCATAAGAACTCAGAGAGATAACCTGTGCCTGGCACTGAAATTTTCATTTTAATAACCCATGTCTTCTGGGAGCTGCATTGTCCACCTATGCAAGGTACATCTGCTCAAAGTACTTTAAAATGTGTTTTTAAAATTAGCTTATGGAGGGGTTACAACTGAGGCCCAACTCCTAGCTGAGGAGCTACTGACAGCTGATGACTGGTGTGGGGGGGTCTCTTCTTAGAGGGTATGGCCACTGGAGGTGTCCCATGCCTTTGGTGGGTTATTTAAAAAAAGAAAACTGAACTTGGTGGGTTATTTAAAAAAAGAAAAAAAAAGAAAAAGAAAAGAGAGAAATAAATAAATAAAAGAAAGAAAGGAAGGAAGGAAGGAAGGAAGGAAGGAAGGAAGGAAGGAAAATATGAAGTTGAGAGGGAGCTATCTTAGGGGTATCTGGGGGGGTTAGATATGATCCAATATACATTGACTACATGTATGAAATTGTTGAAATCGGTAAGAAGAAAAATTTTCAGGAAATATATTTTAAGGAGTATGATTAAAATTACAACAACAACAACAACAACCACTTAAATTCTTTCAGCTCCTCATACACATACTGATGGGAGTCACACATATTTTGCATTCCAGACATTGACTGGGTACCCTCTTAACAGAAAAGAAATGTTTTTCACAGAAGTGCAATGTACCTATTTGACTTTCCTAAAGCATTAGAAATAGTTCCACACAGCATTCTCAGAAGAATTCTATGCATACGGATTAACAGAATGAAACGAGTGCACTATGGGTAAAAACTCAGTTAAGTTTATCGAACCCCAACAACTTATTAATAGTTTGGTGTCAAAATAGAGCAGCTCTTGCAGACAGTTCATAATGAACCCATCCTGGGGCTGATCTTGTTCCATATTTTCTATTGATAGCTTTGAGGATCGTGTAATGCATGTGCTAATCAATCCACAGACTATGCAGCTCTGGGAGACATGGCTAATGCTTTAGATGACAATATTAACAGTCAGGATGCTCTTGTGAAATCAGAGAAATGAACTGAAATCAATAGAGCAAGCACAGTTCTGTTAGATGTTTCAAATCATAGGATTCAGAAGCCTCCCCCCATCAGAAAGCAAGACATCCTGGACAGCAAAATTCCAAGCACTCCGATTCCTTTGTCTGCACCCCTTGCTTCTTCATAGCCACAAGGACATCCAGACATGTTTAGGACTATCATCTACACATGTTTAAGCTCATGACCTGCAGTTTCTCAGTTCTCCCCAGATTCCTGCAGTGAGGAGAGAGATTATGGATTTTTATTGACACAACTTGTAGAACCCACACTAACTAGTTCAGTATGTAATACCCCATCAAAACAGGGTTAAAATAAAACAGGGAATGCCTCCAGGATGATAGGCAAGACCTTAATGACTTTTTTTCTAAGAGCATCAAAATGTCTTCCTGACATTAAAATATATTCCTTAATGAACAGGGCTTGGAGTTGGGGAGGGCCGATGATCACAGTTCTCTAACAACTTAGTATTCACCTATCTAAACTCTGACAAAGTAAGAATCTTTAAAAAAACTTAAGCCCACCTTTTTTCTTTCAATTACAACCCTTCCCCAGAATCATCCTTAATTATATTTACTTTCCTGTCCCTCATTTAGTAATCAGTAATCAAGTCTGCCACTTTCACCTTCTCGGCAGTTCTCAAAACCGTATACCATCCTGTCTAGTCTCGTCCTTCCTCATTGAAGTTTTCATCACCCCTCACGTAGACGAGGGCAGGAGGCTTAAAGGTTCTTTGTTCTCTATTCTTTTAAATCCATCCTTCATACCATTGCCTGTGTGATCTAATGGAAATATGAAAGAACTCAAACATTTTAGTCCATCCAGTCTCATAGTTCTCCAATGTGGGATGCAAATGTCCTCAGTGGATCTTCTACCAAGAGCACCACCAGCTCCCTGTGGGGCCATTTCTAGGTGATTCGATGTCTAAGTGATATTACTAACATTTAGGGACCAGGGTTGCTAAACAACCTGGATAATAAACTGCCCCACGCAGTTTATCACCGATACCTCTATTGAGAAAATTTTTGCTCCTATGCTTTCTGCTCCCTTCCTGGGCTTTCAGATTCACTTTTGTCTACTGCATCTAACTAAGTCACCTTCCTCAACAACAGCCCGGCTTTTTTAATGCCTTTATACCTTGGACACCTGGAATGAATCTCTTAATTTTAGCTTCATTCACCTTTAAGCTTCAACTCAGATGTCACCTCTACCAGGAAGAACCTGCACAGCCTGACTTAGACGCCTCTTCCTGGTAAAGCAACGGACTTTCTCGTTGTAATAAGCTCTATACTCAGCATTTTGTAAAAACCAAAAGCACTTACTAGACCTATGTAGAAATAGAATTTGGGTGAGGTGAAGGAGTCATTGTCAACACACAACACACCCATTGTCCCTGTTTATCACAGCCCTATTCACCATAGCCAAATCATGGAATCAGCCTAAGCGCCCATCAATGGATGAATGGATAAAGAAAATATAGTAGAGATGCACAATGTAGTATCTTTACCATAAAGAACAAAATTATGTTGTTTTCAGGAAAATTAAATGAACTGCAGATTATTGTGTTAAGTGAAATAAGCTAGACTCAGAAAAATGACTATCAAATGTTTATTCTTATACAAAGAGTCTGGGTTAAGAATGAAAAGCATGGGAAGAGGAAGCGGAGCAGAAAGAGTAGGCGGAAGAAGCAAGAAAGGGGACAAGAGAGGATAATGGGAGAAGAGGTCAATGTGATCAAAGTTCATTATGTTCATATATGAGAGATAATGAAATGTGTGATGAGGTGTAAGATAAGAGATAAGAGAAATCATTCAAGAGATGTAGGGACAGATGACTGGCTGAGAACAATGACTTTTCATATGTCCATGATGTGGTATCAAACATAAGCATTATTTTATAGCTGAGGGAGCACTTGGTTTGGTGGAGTCAGAGCTTTAGCTCAGACTACCTGCCTTGACTGCTAGCCTTTTGTGCTGTACCTGTCACGTTGTACCCTGAATTTTTAGTCTCTAAACAACCCTTCAAAAGGTGCCAGACAGCACCCTGTATGACATTCCACTTACCCACGTTGAAGATTGGGGGTCACGTTGAAGATTCCTGTCCAGTTTGTTCAGGAACTCAGCAGTTTTGCTACAGGAACAAATAGGTGTTAGTGCCTTCATAAATATTTTTTTTTTAAAAATCTTTGCTTATTGTGCCTTTGGGTACTAGCCTGGGCTTTCATGGGGTGAGGACTAAAAATATCCTATGGAGAAGAAATGGTTAGATAAAGAGCAAGAGATAATAGAAAATCAAAACAAAATGGTTTATAAGACTACATTCTTGAAGAACAGTAGTTTAAAAAATAAAACCTAGGTTTGTGAAATGTGAACATATGATTTCATTTTCTTGCACTTTATCCACAGGATGATGCCTAATTTCCTATGTGAATGTCTCAAATTTGACACCAGACTTCATATAGACCTATGGAACACTAATCTCCTATGAACATCTCACTTCATATCAGTTTTACATTAAGCCCTTCACCATGAGGGGTCTTTCTCTAGTCATTCCATCTCTTGCATGGCTCTAACTATCACAAGACACATGGAACCCCTAATCTAGAAGCTCTTTCCCATTTATGGGTCATGAACCCTTTGTGAGTCTGACTTCAGAAATAGACCCTCTATCTCCAGACACAGAAAGGCACCCCATCTCACACACCTTCACATCTGATTCGAGGAAAGAGATAAACTTCCTTTCTCAGAGGTTAAAAAGTACTGCTTGGGTTGAGCAGGTGGCTTGACAGATAAAGTCCTTGCCACACAAACATTAGGAATTGAGTTCAGCTCTCCATTATCCATATAAAGAGCTGAACATCCTGGTGCACACTTGTAATTCCAGCACTGGGAAGGCAGAGATAGGAGAATCCCTGGGGCTTGCTGGCCAGCCAGTCAGTGAGCTCAAGGTTCAGTAAGAGATCCTATCTTACCAAACAAGGTGGAGACATGATAGTGGAAGGACCCAGTGTCAACTTTGGCCTCCACATGCATGTGTACAGGTACCTGCATACATGTGAACATACACAAGTACATATACATGTATATACCACACAGAGGGAGGGAGGGAAGGAGGGAGGGAGAGAGCTGCTGATTCTGGCCCACATTTCTGTTTCTTTATAGCTCTGAAAGGCTGACCTGCTTTTACTCAGTTTTAAGGGCTTTGTTTCCCCCCTAATCCAAATCACCACCCCAGTTTCTCTTCTCCCCTGTGCCATGCACAGAACACTGGACTTACTTCCCAGGCTTCATCTGTCTACCTTTGATCAACTTCTCCTTTTTCCTTTTCCTATGTAATCTGTGGAACTGTGTACTTCATTGAGGCTTGTATTACATTCTTCATACTATTGTGCCTGTGCCTACCTTTCTCCTTCCTTCCTCCTACTCCTCCGCTTCCTAAAATTTTAGGCCTAATGCTAAGATCTGAGTTGTGAATTACTTAGGATACAGGCATCAAAGGAAACATGAAGGTCTGATAAGGATTAATGGCATTCAATTTGGAAAACACAATGTAAGAAATTAGAAATAAAACAGAAATACCAACATCATGGCGAACAATTTCTTAGGTGGAGCACGGCATTTAATCAACACTAGAAGCTTAAGCCGAGAAAGGAAGTGCTAAAGGTGAAACAAAGCACATGACACCGAGAAGCAGAAGACCAGTAGCTACAGAGCAGCCTCTCCACTTACCCTACCCATAAAAGACAAAGAGACCAATGAAATCACAGTTTGTAGCTACCCCACTGTCTTGGGGCTTTCTGAAATCAATAGTTCAAAAAGGAGACAGGAGTCAAGAGTTTGGATGAGATTTCAAAATATCCTGAGCGAGCTGCAGACCATGGGAGAAACAGTAACAGAGATGCACTGTGAGAAGCTAGGAAGTCACTTTGGACCAAGTTAACTCTCTCAGTATGTCCTGACCACCACTTCTTATCTACCAATACAAAGCACAAAGCCTGCTGGATGGATAGCCACTCATGACAGAGAAGAAAAGCAAGATGACAGAGACAGAGAATTATCATGAGATGCAGGTAGGGGACTAAGTGATTAGCTCTACAGACCAGGGAACTCTTGAGTTACTAAATCAACTGGTCTTCTTCTATTAGCATAGCTCATGGTACATAATTGTACAAGTTACTACTGGCTGAAATGAGTTGGAATCCCAGTAATAAACAATAAAATACAATCTTTGTGCCCCTCTTCCTCGATGTTCTCTGAGGCTTAGGTGTAGGGGTTGCACTGAAAATGTATCAATTCGATCTGGGCATCCCAGGGCCACTTATTTTCTGCATTTTGACCAGTTATGGCTCTCTGTAATCATCTTCATCTGTTACAAAAAGAAGCTTCTTTGATAAGGGGTGAGAGCTACACTTACCTGTGGGTTTAAGGATAAATATTTAGAATACAGTTAGAAATTATATTGGCTTAAGGAAATGGCAGTAGCAGATTCTTTATGCTCTATGACCTCTTCAACCACAGGTATTTGGCTAAGTTTTTAGTACCAGGCATGAATTGCCTCCCATTGAGAAGAACTTAAGTCCAATTAGACAACTGTTGATTACTCGCAACATAAAAGTGCCCCTATTGCACCATTAGGGATATCTTGCTGGACCAGCCATTGTTGTGGTTCACAGGCCTTACAACTGGGTAGGACTACTGACTACTATTCTCCCTTACCACCTTGCATAGCGCCTTCTAAAACTATGAAAGCTAGTCCTCAGGGAGGAAGCTTCCAGGTCAGTTCCAGCTCGATTCCTCCAAGTCCTGTGTCCAAAGTATGTGGTGTCTTCAGCAGTAGAGTCTTACCTTCAAGTTCCTGGAGCCAAGGGTAATGGCAATAGTCTACATTGTTTGGGGAATATCTTTGACTACTCTGACCAACAACTCAAAGGCAAGTTTCCCATGCCCCACATAGTCTGGTTCTTGGGGGAACATTATCACCCTGTGTGGCATAACTCCATTTGAAATATACATTATGTATTATTAAATATGCTTATATAGTAATGTTTCCTATGGTGTTTTTCAAACATCTTTGATTGTAAGAGCCAAAGGACCAGGACATCTGCTACTAGATGGTGTTGTCCAGATATCTCAAGGAAGCTCACCCTTGGAATTTCATCAATATGGTTGCCTAAATAAGACCTGCATAGTGACCGTACCAGCAGACATGCCAGCATGGGAGGGGAAATTTCACAAGGTCACACCTCTAGATGAAGAAGTTCAGGCGACTAATGACTGCTGGGAGAGGGAGAATCAGTCTTCTCCAGGGATGAGCTCCCTGCTATGCTATCAAATTCCAGTGGTTAGCCCTAAACACCGCTAAATGGACTCAATAGGTTGTGTGTGTATACATATACATATATGTATATGTATATGTAGCATCAATAATTGATGAAGTGGTCAGGATTACTTGAGTGGTCAGGATTTTGAGAGGGACTGGGGGAAACATGGGAGTAGCTGGAAGAGTAGAAATAATGTAAACACAGTATTCATGTATAAAATTCTCAAAAAAATAAATTAAAAAAATAAAGCAAAATACAGAGCCTCTGTGAGGGGTAAATAGAAGACAATGTCCTGTGGGAAATTCCACCAGACAATGAACCTAGTTCCCACGACTTCTTTCTATTAGTCAGCACTGTGACTCTGCCGCCTATGGGAGGGAGTAATGCCCTTAGATGTTATTACTCTGACCCAAGAATGAAAAAAGGATTTCTTGAACAATTTGTTAAATTAGCATTGAAAACTTTGCTGATAAACCCAGTTTTTGATTTTCAAGACTCCTTCTTGCTTGTTCTTGGGGTAACTCCTATGACTTCCTAGAAGGTCTATTCAGATAACTTCTCAACATAATGCAGTTGCAGAGGCATGGTGAATGTTCACCAAAATTCTTATTCTCATCTAAATCTATTCTAAATTTGACTATATTTCCTAGTCTTCCTTAGAGATAAAATTAATGACATGATTGGATCTTGACCAGTGGAATAGGAGAGGAAGTGACTGCATGCCACTTCCTGGACTAACTTATTGTAACTTCAACACATGTACCCTGTGCATTTTTTGACTAGATCTGAGACAACCTGCAGAGAGACTGGAAGGCGTATGCTGAAGTTGGGAGAAGCTGTTATTTAGGCCCCTAAGTATCTGATTGGACGAGTTTCTTTGAAAATTTGTCAGCTCACATCTTAAATGAGAAAAACAATGAGCTAATCTCTTCTCTCTCTCTCTCTCTCTCTCTCTCTCTATATATATATATATATACAGATATACACACACACATATATATACTATACAGATATATAGCTATAGATAGATAGATAGATAGATAGATAGATAGATAGATAGATAGATATTTATGTTTCCATTTATTTGTGTGTACATAGATGCACATGCACATGTTATGTTGAAAGTATGGAGATCAGAAGACAACTCCTTCCATCATGTGGGTCCTGGGGATCAAATTCAGGTAATCAGAATTGGAGGCAACTTCTTCTACTGGCTGAGCCATCTCACTGGTCCTATTATACATTTTGATGTCTGTTTATTAGAGCAATTAACCTAAAACTTTAAGTAATATGTAAAGAGGATCATTTATCAATGAAAGTACCTAAGAGACCAGGAAGAGTGAAAGTTCCTAAGAGATCGGGAACTCTTCCTAAGAGGTGAGGAAGAACAGAAGGAAAGGAAGAAAGAAGAATTCTCAAAGGTGCCATTTGGCTCTTAGTCATCTCAAAACTTCAGGACGGGAAAGAGAAGGTGAAAAGGCAGCAAAGCTGATTCATCCTTGAGTTGTCTCTTGTCAGATTTAGGAACTACTAGACTTACAGAATCAAACAGCATTAATTTATTCTGAAACCATCAGGATCTTGTCTCATTGGATGATGGATGGAAACTGACAAGATAAATTTCATTGTGAGAAAATTAGGAAAGGCCTGTGGCTTGTTGTATTGTAGTATGATGGGATATTTGAAGACCGTTGGTAGAGATACATCAATACCAAAATCGGATCTTTATGAAAGGGTAAAGTAAACAAAGAAAGGTCACAGAGAGAAGAGTGTCTGTTGGTTCATTTGAATGTCCCAGGATTACAAAAGA